TTTTAGGATTTAAAATTAGTTGGGTGAATTAAAACACAGAAGCAAATGTTAGTGTTTGTCAGATTCAACTGGAGAGGAGGTTAAAAATGTAGATACTGAGGACTCACGTCCCGATGGAGGGAGTTTTGAGGGAGTGGGTGCTTCAGGGTGATGAGGCTGCTTGATTCAAGTGTGATGAATGACATCGTGGTGGGTCAGAACACCTTCATTTGTGCCTCCATCGGCATCCAAGATGGTCTTGTGGGTACATGGAAAAGAAATAGCTCAATAAAAATTGGTTGAATTTAAATTTCATCTGTGGACCAGGGACCAAGAGGAAGGCAAGGACCGCCAGGAACTTTGGGAGAAAAAGGCTCACCGGGTGCTCAGGTAGGTTTGAGAGACTGACAGCTACAACACAGCTGCTCATTCCCAAGGGCCGGTTCATGCACCTGCGTGTTCCTGGGCAAACAACATAAGGCTACCTCGTTTGTTCTGGGATCTGTGGGCATCAGGAATTTCTAGAAAGAGCTGTTTCAAGGAAGTAGCCCTTGATCACCAGCTCCGTCCCCCTTCTACTCTAGGTGTTTGGGGGATACACTGACTAATGAGATTGGGCTTGAGGCTCAAAGGTGTGTGGCACAGGCTTATCCTTATGTAGAGTGCAAGAGAAAAACAGTAGTGTAAAGGGCGTAAATGACTAACGTCTTCCTCACAATCATATAAGGAAGCATTACTTAAAATCACCCTACTTTTATAGAGATGAGGAAACTGAGGCTCAAAGAGATGAAATGACTTTTCATCTGGATCGTTTAAATGGCTGGACTTGGCCTCCAACTTGGTGCCTGATGAGAGCCTCGCCCACTCGGTCTCCCGGGGCTTGTGGAAGGGTCAGATCAGATTGAGGCAGGCGATCAGGCGCGGCTTCCTACAGAAGGAGTATTTGAGAGAGCTTGAAACACCCGAGCAGCATGTTGTAAGTCAGGGGTTAGAGTACCTGGAGGCTCAAATAGCAGCTCCAAGAAGGCCTGAGCCACCTCTCTCTTGTTCGGGAAACGTCTAGCCTCATAACCGATGGTATTGTTTTCATTCTCATTTGATCGTATTTTTAATTCAGAGTGGCTAAAAGTCCAGGCATTTGTCTTCCTAATCTCTTAACCAGATGGTGTTCTTCCCCTCTGGTAGCCAGATCCTCCCTCCTGTTCTTGATATGTGGGGGAGGTGACTTCTTGCACAGAACACCCTGCTCCTCCACCCCAAGCCCCCAGCTCAGAGGCTACATGTGTGTATGATGCACTTTGGAAGATGAAATTAATTGTCTAAAACATTATGGATAATTTGGGTTGTGGTGTCATTACAGGGTAATGCTGGGCTTCCAGGGCCAAATGGTTCCAAAGGAAAAGACGGACCAAGAGGAATGAAGGTAAGTGTTAGAAAACACACCTTTCCTTGACTGCAGCTTGGGGTCTCTTCTATGAATTATGAGATCATTTCTGCCATGAGTGTCTGATGTCGTTGGTGATGATACTGACTGCCCATTACCTCACAGCTGGATAGGCGGATATAGACAAGGGAAGATGTATAGACAAGGGAAGATGTATAGACAAGACATACAGAAAGATGGACAGATAGAGGGTTACATAGATCAGTAGACAAGGACACATCAATAGATAGATAAACATAAG